CATCCTTCCTGGATGTCCTTCCTGGATGTCCACAGGCCGGGCATGACAGGGAGGCTCACTAGAGGTGGTGCACTTTGAAGTGGCAATGTCAGGGGACAGATTTCTTTTGTTGGGCTACCAGACTCCAAAAGACCAGCACGGTCACTGATCCCCAGCGCTAGAGGTGAAGTGGTCGGCCACGTGTTGGTGTATATATATATATTTAAAGATATTTATAGACCAGGGCAGGGGCGTACCACAGAGGGGGCACAAGTTTTCAGCAACAGTCACACCTGGATGTGTCTGCTCACCACTACAACAGACTAAGTCACAGATGTAGGGGGCTGGCTTTGGGGCTGGGGGAGCCACTGTGAAGTCACAGAACAGCCACCCAGGCAGGCTTGGAAAGGGAGGTCTCCAAGAAGAGGACGGATCTGTTTAGAGGTTGAAGTGGGGTCTGAGGCTCTGAGGACGGCATGGTCTTGCCTGACCCATTCGGCTGGCAGTTAGAGTGAAAACAGGAGAGAGAAAAGCGAGCAGAGAGCTGGAGAGGCAAGTGCAGAGCACAGGTGTGCCACAGCAGGTGTGGGAGGGCTGGGGAGGGGAGGGCGCATGTGTGGGTGTGGCAAGGTTCGTGGAAAGGGGTTGGAAGGGAAAGGGGAGGAAGATGGAGGGAGGAGCTGGAGCTTCACGGGTTGTGCCTGGGGGCTGCAGTGTCCACCCCATCCCACACACACTGGCCTCTTCCAGGACACCCAGGCAGTGCACCCACTGTTCAGAGCAATGCTCAGCCCCCTCGGGCTTCCCTCATCTCTGGTCATCCATCTCCCAACCCACCAGCCCGGGGCCACCTCTTGCCTTTGGGAGTCCAACGCAACAACCACCAGCCCTGATAAAGAAGGAACAGTGCTTGAACCAGGGTGATGAAGCTAAAAGGGATGGATGGCTGGAGTGATCACTGGAGCCCCGTCTGGGCAGTCAGAAAGCCCAGGACCCTGGGGGAAACAGGGAGGGCAGGCAGCCGGATGCCACTGGCTATAGATGTATAAGTCTAAGAGGAGAGCCTCAGCTTGTTGGGGGTTGCAGGTCGCACAGGTGAGGCTGGACCCTTCCTGTTGGGAAAAGCAGAACAGGGAGAGTCCATGGCAAGGGAGATGGGCGGGCTTGCTGGGCGGAGCTCAGCCGGGCCAGCAGCCACTGTGGTTCTCTTGGCTGAATAGCAAAGGCGACCTCTAGAAGCAATAGGCCAAGGTGTGTGAGCCTGCTGGCTGGCGGTAGTGCATCAGCTGGGGCCAGGGACCCTGCCTTCAGTCACAAGCTAGCAGCTATGATGGTACCTGGGAGGGAGAGAAGGGGGCTGTGTGTCCCTGACTGGCCTGTGAGGTGTGTTGTGGGTTGATCATGTGTATGGGACTCTTGAGGTTTTATCCTCAATCATCACTGAATTGCCGACAGATAGAGGAGGTGAGACCCTGACTATCACCCTTGCTCTGCAGTGGATTTGGCTCTCAGCACTCCCAGGCTGGGAGCTGGATGCCCTGCCCTGGCAGCATGACTTAGACTGCACAACAGGTACGGCGTGCCCAGGATGACATTCCTAGGCCTCTGGCCACCTCAGAGTACAGCCCCACACATAACCTCCTCCAAGCTCTCAGCTCTTACACTATAAACCACGAGCTCTCTGACAGCTCCAGAGAGCACCCATGTCTGCCAGCTTGGGCACAGAGCCTGCTCCAAGAGCCCAGGGTCAGCCATGGAGGCTGTGGGGCTTTGGGGCTAGTAGGGGCCAGCCCTGGTACCTGCGTCCAACCGGGAGTCGTCCATGGGCCCCCGTGGACATGCTGATGGTGGTCGTGTTGATGTCGCCAATGATGCTGACCGCCTCCTTTAGCACTTGGTGCATGCACAGTATCTCGTTGCACCACTGTGCCTGCTCTGCTGACTCTGCTGACTCCTCCATCAGCGTGTCCTGGTCCCCACGCGAGTACAGGTGGAACAGCAGCTCCGAGAAGATGAACTCCTTGGTCTGAGAGTGGGCAAAGAAGGAAGGAGGTTGGGACCTGATGCCTGTGCTGCACTGGCCTCCTGCCGGGCCCTGGTGGGACTGTGTGCTGGACTTGGAGCCCTGAGTATGGCTTTTCAGATGTGGCTTCTACACACTTAGACTCAAAGATCTGCCTCCCCACAGCCCTTTTCTCACTCAGAAAGGGACATTGAGGTCCAGAGGAAAAGTCACGTGTCCAAGGTCACAGATCTGGGAGGGGAACCTGGACCTATCATGCCACCAGGACACCTGTCTACTCTCGTTGTTTCAAAATGTTTTTGGAGATAGGATCTTGCTCTGTCACTAGGCTGGAGTACAGTGGGCGAGATCACCGCTCATGGTCTGGAACATGCCTCCCTCCGTGGACCTGGTCCCATAGGGCTGGTCGGCATCTCCCCCAGGCCAACATGGCCACCTGCATCTCCAGTGCCAAAGGAACCTCCTGTCCCCATGAGGCGGTGCACGCATGTTGTTGATCATGATGTGCATGGTGGTCTTGGGCATGACACCAACCATGAGGTCCCACACTGTCTTGTTGACAATGACCATGTAGGACTCCACCAGGTTCTGGGTAGTTTCCATTTACCGCTCCAGCTGTGGGTCCATGGAGTGCATGAAGCTGTCGGAGCCATTCTCCTCGCCCTTGCTGTCCTGTCATGGAGCACACAAGGGCATCAGGGTGGCCAGGCCATGCAGCCAGGCTCCAGGGATCCCTAGGATCTCAGCCCCTCCAATGGTACCTGGAACATTGAGGCACAGAGAGAAGCAACTGGCCTGAACACACACCCAGCTCTAGACGGTTTCACGCCTCTGCCTCTCGGGACCACAGACTCCTGTGATTCAAGTCTTGTCTTAGTTCTGACTCTAGTATCCAGAATTTGCCTCAAGTTACCAATCCAGAAATTGTAAAAGAATATCTCCAAGTTCCTTGCTTGAAGACCTGGCCAGAGCTTGTGCCAGGC